TTCTGTTCCTACTAATTTATTTACAAAACGCAAATACAAATTTAAACACATTCTTTCAATTTCTCTCTGCTGGTCTAGTGGATAGAAAGTTATGCTACCAAGCCAAAGGTGGATTATTTTAATCTGTGGCCCTCGGGCCTGGTTTTAATTGATTTTGGTCAAACATTCTTCTAAGTGGTATATCACTTTTGCTGTTCAGAGGTAACTGATGGTTGCTGTGATGCTAAACACTGTGACACTGATGTGTCAAATGTGATAATAGTTACCATGGTGGACAGTATTTGGTGGAGCTCCCTGACTAAAACAAGCTTGGAGGCAGGAGTGGCATCCACTTCCAAAATAGCTTGCCTCTGGAAACTGTGAATGTGGAGAAATGATGAGAGTTATATAAGTGATCAGGTCTTTCATTTATAGGGTCACTATGAGTTGTCTATGACTCAGTGGCACTTAACAACAACCACCTCCCCCTTATATGTCTAATAGGCAACACTCATTTTCAAGGTGGAGTTTTCTGCACAATAGATTTTGTCCCCAGTGAATGTGTATATTATCCATCTGGAAGCTCCAAGTCACAGGGGGGTTTTTTAGAATAGCTACAGAGGCCTCAATAATTGGATTCTTATTTCATGGTGAACATTTGATCGAATTATTGAATATAGATGGCTTGTTCTCTCCTGCCCACTTCCATCCTCTTTGCTGAAAATTAGTTCTTGAGGTGTGGTCTAAGGGCCTCCAGCTCACTTGCAAAGATTTACGTATAACCTCAAAATTCAAAGGGAGTATGGTGAAACTGTATTGACAGAATGGCTGCAAGTATTAGATGGCCCAGAACCAGGCTGTGATTCATCTGCTTATGCTATTTATATATTATGTGTAGGGTCTGCAGTAAGTTGGAACCCACTGATGGCACCTAACAAGTAGAAGTAGCCTGTAGCTATTGTGTTTTTTGTTGGTTTTTCAAAAGATCGCTTGGATGCTGAAGATTGCCAAGGTCTACTCTGAGACGTGAGAGACAAAAGGTCAAGTTTAATTTCTTGTCCCATATATAGTGGTTTTTCACTCATTGTGTATTATACCTCCCTCAATACTAGCGTGTCTTCACTTATAAGCAGGGAAGGATGGCTAAGGAAACTTTTGTATACAGTTCACATAATTTCCAGTTTCACTTTTACTTCATAGTCTTATTTTTCCAGTGTCCTCTATTGTAAGCTCAGAACCTCTTTATGTGGAAGTTCCTACTGTTGTTAAGTGCTGTCAAGTTGCTACTCACTTATACTGGCCCTGTGTATGACACACCCAAACATTGCCCAGCACTACCCCATCCTTAAATTTATTGCTATGTTAGAGCCTACTGTTGGAGCTGTTGTGTCCAGGCCATCTCTTTCATAGACTTCCTTTTTTTAATTGATCATCTTCTAATAATTGATAACCTCCTCATAATCATGTCCAAAGTATGTGAGAAAAATTCTCACCATCCTTGCTTCTAAAGAGCATTTTGGCTGTACGTCTAAGACATCTTAGATTTGTTTGTCTATGGCATAGTCGCTTGGCATTTCTTAAGCTGAAGAAACTGAAGAACAAATTTTAGCCTCAAATTGCAATGTTTAGGGATACTAAAGGGAGAATGTTGAATGGTCCAGGAAGCATAAAAAGAAGACGGAAGGAGTACACAGCGGCACTATACCAAAAAGAAGTGGCTAACAGAAGAATTTCATGAAACAACATATGATCAAGAGCCTATGGTTATGAAGGAAGAAGTTCAAGCTGCTCTGAAGGAATTGGCAAAAAACAAGACGCCTGGAATTGATAGAATGCTGCCCTGGACATGCTCATCAGGTTATGTCAAGAAATCTGGAGGATAAACACCTAACCAACTGACTGGAAGAGATATGTATTTGTTCCCATTCCAAAAATGGTGACCTAACAGTGTGGAAATTATCAATCGATATCACTAATAACACTTGCAAGCAAGATCTTGCTGTAGATTATCTAGAAATTACTGGAACAGTACATCAGCAGAGAACTGCCAGATGTGTAGGCTGGTTTAGAAGAGGCTGTGGCACTAGAGATGTTATAGCCAATGTTAGCTAGATCCTGGCTGAAGGAAGAGAGTACCAGAAGAATGTCTATCTGTGTTTCATTGACTATGCAAAGGCAATTGACTGTGTGGATCAAAACCAATTGTGGCTGACCCTGAGAAGAATGGGAATCCTTAGAACACTTAATTGTGCTCATGCAAAACCTATAGTTGGAACAAGAAGCAGTCCTCAGAACAGAGCAAGGAAACACTGTATGGTTCAGGATCAGGAAAAGTGTGCATTAAGGATGCATCTTACCTCCATACCTTTTCAATCTATATGCAGAACAGATAATTCTGGGGGCTGGGCTCTGTGAGGAGGAATGTGGCATCAGGACTGGAGGAAGACTCATCAACAACCTGCTTTATGCAGATGACACACCTTGCTTGCTGAAACAGAGGAGGACATGAGGCATTTGCCACAGAAGGTCAAGGACTGTAGTCTTCCATATGTTGAAGCTCAACATCAAGAAAAAGATTCTCACCACAAGGCCAGTTGGCAGCTTTATGATGGATGGAGAAGAAATTGAGGTTGGTGATAACTTCAGCTAGCTTGGTTCCATGATCAACACTCTTGGCACTAGTCATCAAGAAGATGAATTGCACTGGGAAAGTCTGCTGTCAGGGACCTCTCTTGAGTACTGAAGAACAACGATACCAGTCTGGAGAATAAGGTGCCTTTGATCCAGGCCATATAGTCTTCACAATTACTTTACATCCGAGAGTTGAATGATAACTAGGGATGACAGAAGAAGGATTGATGCCTTTGAGTTGTGCTGGAAAAGAGTCCACATACTGTGGACTGCAGCAGGTTTGTCTTGGAGAGGGTGAGACCAAGCTGCTCCCTGGAGGCAAGGATTTTGAGGTTCCATCTCACATACTTTGGGCATGTGACCAGGAGGGACCAGTCTTTTGAGAGGGGCATCATACTTGAAAGAGTGGAGTGATAGTGCAGGAGAGGCAGACCTAGGATGAGATCGATTGATTGAGTGACTCGAGAAGTGTCATTAGGTCTGTTGGAGTTGGTGAGATTGGCTCAAGATAGGGCTGGTTTCAGAGCTAGTGTACCTAGGGTTGCTAGTCATAGGTGACTTGATGGCACATAACAACAGCAACATGGTATGGTCAGTATTCTTCAACACAATAATTGAAAGGCATCCATTTTTCTTTGATGGTTCTTTTTTCATGCCTGGGTTTTGTTGTGCATATAAAGCAACTGGAAATACATCCTTGCTTGAGTCCAACATACCTTAGTTCTAAAAGTTCTGATTTACTCCGACCATAGAGACGTGGGGAAGAGAGATGGGAGCGGCGCGGGGCATGCTGGGATACTGGAGGTCGGCCTAGCGCTTCCTGCGGGCTTAGCACTCATTAGCTCGAGAAAAGGGAATTCCTGTGTCCTTACCATTTTGCCCGGACTGTATGACTAGGCAAAATTTAGGTCAAAATAGCTTTTCTTGAATAGAGAAGACTCACTTTATATAGAAAGTTTGAACACTTTTTACCATTACATTAACCGAAGTAATTTCTCTTTTTTGTCAAGTCCTTAACATACGTTACCTTTGCTACTTAAACTAGTTCCACCAGCGTGGAATTGGGTATCCAGGTCACAGAAAATTTAGGTTCAGAAATAAACGTTTAAAGACGGGGGGAAAAAAAGTTCTGATTTAGCAACACAAAATAAGTTGTGCTTTTTTTCTGTTAACATCTTTTCCCTCTTGAGTGTCACAAATTTATTCCATTGAATATTTTAGTGATTTTATTTCAGATGTATCTGTGGAGGGACAAGAGATGAAAATACTGAACTGAAACCTTAATTTTTAAATAATAAAAAATTACATAAACTGACTTAAATCTCTCTCTCTCCTGACAGGATGTCTGTGTCACATTTTGCCAATCGGCACAGAAAGGATTTAAGTACTGACATGCTTAGAACCAAAATTGCTTGTAGGAAATCACTGTCTCAGAAAGAAAACAGACATAAGGAATATGAGCGAAACAGGCATTTTGGCTTGAAAGACAGCAACATTCCGGTCTTACAAAATAGAAATCTTGCTTCCTTGGATGAGACAATTAAAGAAGCTGTTCCAGGAAAGGCCAATGTTAAGCCAAGTAAGTAAAATTCTTTTGTCATTTTAAGTCCTTTGAAAAAGTGAACAAAAATTGATTTCATACTCACTTAGAGAAAAACTCTGACCAGAGAAATAGAGTTCTGAAAAACTGTTCTTATTCACTTGATACTTTTCTACAAATAAGTATCTGTTTAAGGCAAAGGCTGTGAAAATCCATAGTTAGGCAATCCCCCCTCATTTATGAAGCATTAGAGAACATTAGTGGAGCTCTGGTGGCATAGTGTATAGGATATTCCTACAGTTGTGCTGCTAACCTAAAAGCCAGGCTCCTCCACCAGTAATTGCAGGAGGAAAACCTCAGAAACCCATTGGAAAATCAGCTATGAGTTGGTTCCAGTTCAACAGCAGTGAGCAAAAACTTTATAAGGAGTCCTGTTATCATAGTGGTAAAACCCTGAACTGCTGACTGAAAGGTTGATGGTTCAAAACCCACTAGTCACTCTGAAAGGGACAGATGTAGCAATGTGGCACAAAAAATCCAATGAATAGGACATACAGAAACAGAGAAGCAAACAGGAATATTAATGAGAATGATAATTACAGGAAGGAAGCAAGAAAAATGCAGTTATACAAATCAATTAAACGTCTAAAAAAGAATAAAGGGACTATATTTCAGGGGGGAAAAGTTATAAATAGGAGTATCTCAGTAGGTCAAGAATGTTACAAGGAGGAAGAAAATTGGGAAATGACTTTTGCATTTAACTAGGGACCACTGAATTCCTATTTAGTGGTATTTCTATAATAAGCAGTAGTAGCTAGATTGTACTGAAATAAAAGAATGGTCAAATGACGCTGAAGAGACAATTAAAATATGTTGTATAGAGAAGAAAATGAGATGTCAAATTGTTTAACTTCATTGATTCATTTTATTCTTTATTATTCAGTACCATTATATTTGTGGCATCTAGAAGCCATTCCATTTATTTCACTTTAATGGATTCGGTAAAATAGGAAATTGGGCTAAAACTTGAACAGTTTTGTGATTCTTAAGGAAATCAGAAGGAAAAAAATTTTAAAGTGCCTGGGTTCTTTTTTTTGTTTTATTTTTGTGCTGAAGTGATAAGTACATGTTTGAAGAAATGAACTAGTACCTAAAGGAGAGAGAGAATAAGAATAGTATCTTAAGGAGTAGCAAAGAATTGAAATTCAGGGTATAGAATAATATGGGATGGGTTTTAGAGGGGGAAAAAACCCATTTGTTTGGGAAAAGGTAATCATGTTGCCTCCTAAGTGCTGTCATTACCACTATGCTTTCCCTCAAATGTTTCGTGCCTTTGACTTAAGATCTCTCAAGTGCAAGTATGTGAGTATGTGTGTGTGTGTGTGTGTGTGTGTGTGTATATATATATATATAGTCAATTGCTATTAAATACTATTTGTTGATACTTCATTTTCAAAAACCCAGAAGGGAGGATGAGCCTGATATGTTCTAGAGAAAGAACTTTAGCTGTTACTCTGAATTAACTGGGAAAACATTAATGGGTTAATGAGTCTTTATGTGGTCTGACTGATCTTGTGAAAGTATCATTTTGGCTGCTATGTTGAGAATACAAATGGTGACAAATAATGACATCAAGTAAACCAGTTAGACAGACTATTGTGGTAATTTAAGTGAGAATTCATAGTTGATTGTAGTGGTAGCAACAAAGATAATTACATTTTGTATAAGAATATACTGAGTCACTATCGAAAGGAATTAGAAGACACAGAAGAATTTCATGAAACAACATATGAGCAAGAGCCTATGGTGATGAAAGAAG